ACTGAAGCAATGGTTTTGCCACTGACTTCAGCGAACACAGAATCAGAGCCATGGACTCTAGTTAGACAAGCTTCCCTCTTAAAGAACCTTAGCCATGATTTGTAGAACACCACCTTCAGGATTAAGAACCCAACCCTGGAATGAGCTCCATATTACTTCCAAATTCATTCTAGAATCCAGGCTGTGATGCTCAGTTTCTTTCTTAATATATTTGATACTCCTTTTATGGCTTGAAAACAGGTACAGAAACAGGGTATATAAACTGAAGTTGTCCTTCAGGGTATAAACACCTTCTCTTGCATTTACTCTCATGGACAGGTCACGGGCTGTGAATATTTGTTTACTGCCCATGACCTGTCCATGACTTTTACTAAAAATACCCGGGACTAAAACATAGCCTTAATCATGATACACTGACCAGAATTTTCCAATACAATTTAACTCCAAATCAGTGTGGATCAGACAGAGGTGCAGGGCACTTCAGCTGGAGATTTCTATTGCTGTATGTATAGATGTTCAGTTCAGAAGAGATTAGGAAGTAAATGTCATCTAATGTTAATGTTTAATGCTAGCCTTATGAGCTCTTCTCAATGTGGTATGTGCACTCCTGTAACATAAGGTTTATAAAACAAAATGTAGCTAGCTATGTTTCTAAATGTTTCTAAATGCCACATATTTTCAGTAAAATCTTGTCATTGATAAGGCAGGTCACCCAGATGCTGGGAAAGTGAGACTGTGCTTTCATAAACTGCCTATATCTTTGATGTGAAATGGCTTTTAGAGGGACATTCCCACATAATTTCTCATTATTGTTTGGTGTTCTGCAGTTGATCCATTATATTTTTACCTCTTGTTTCTCTAGCTGTTCCTTGTAAACATACCCCTTTCTCTTCACTGGCCTGTCATGGCTCCATCCTTCTTTCCTTCCTGAAACCACACTCCTTCCAAAAAGTCTACAAAGACTATTTTACCCTTTGAGGAAATGTTAACAACCCAGATGACAAAACATCTTCAAAACAAGAAATGTAAATACATAAATAAAAAAACAGCATCATGGAATTAGCAATGTGCAGCTAAACGCCACTGCTAATCGCATCATTCTCTCGCTCTTCCTACATTTTGTTGTCGTATCTATCACTAACATGCCCAGAACACTGTTGTTGCTATATAATCGCATAGCACACTTTGCTGGCAGCATGCCAGCCAGCTTATGTACCTCATACAGATACCCATCAGCAATCTGCATAGCCTCAACCTATTCTCTATTAATAATCTTCTGATATACTCCCACCATGGTCTACAGCCTGTTAAACATGCAGCAGAGCCAATGGTCATAAGCACTTCATGGGCTGTGCTGTGGAGAGTATGGGAAGAGAGAAGAGGAGAACATAATCTTTAACAGGTTAAATGCATTGTTTTTCTTAATTACAGCAAATGCGCTGGGAAAGTCTGCACAGCACGTAGTGAACCAGGCTACAGATGCGGGTCAGAAAGGTATGAGAAATTATATTACATTCAATGAGGGCAAAACTGAGCATGAAGGGAAAGCTAGCAAAAGACATAGCCATCTTTAAAAAAAAAAAAAAAAAGTACAATGAACCCAGGTCCAAATCCTAATGTTCTTACACAGTTTTTACTTGCTGCTTTCTCGGGCAAAACTCCCATTGATTTTAGTGAGAGTTTGACCTTACAAAAGGATTTACTAAAATGGGGGTAAGAATTTCAGGATTTGTATATGTATTTACTCTTGTTGTAGCTGTGCCAGTCCCAGGATATTAAAGAGACAAGGTGGGAGAGGTATTAACTTTTATTGGACCAACTACTGTTGGTGAGAGAGACCTGAAGAAGAGCTTTGTGTAAGCTCGAAAGCTTGTCTCTCTCACCAGCAGAAGTTGGTTCAATAGAAGATATCACCTCTTCCACCTTGTCTCTTTGTGTATTTACTAGCAGATTCACTACTATTTCTATAGCTCACACAGTACATTTAGCATTGTGTTCAAAGTTCATCATTGATCACAGTGAGGGTTCTGGCAGTAGTGTAGTCAAAACTTTGTCCATCTTTCCTAGAGGCTAAGTAAGCATGTGGTGTATCTTGATTTCTCCAGCTCTAAAGGCAGGAGGCCGTAATGATCCCAAGCCCAGCTCCAATACGTGGCAGCTCAAGGAGCTGCAGAGCCAGCAATGATGTCAATTATTAAATGGTGCTGGCAACCTTATGGCTGTTGTGAGGGGAGTATTTTGTTTCCTTTCTGGTGATGAGAATTGCCAGAGCAAAAAACAAAAAGGTCACTAAATCAGTTTCTAAGAATGATGGAAGCATTAGCAACTTTGGAGTCTAAATGTGCACTTATTTGAAAACCAGAAGCTAATGGTAATATCATGTTCTCTCCCTCTAGAACAGGGCCTCTCATACTGGTGATTGTGACACCAAGGATGGTCACCAGGGTGTGGGGTTGTAGCAAAATTGCCAAATATGGCAGCTGCTAGGACCCAGGCAAGAGAACTAAAGGGACACCAGGAGAAGCTCCACTCCTTCTTGCTGCTGCCATCCCCTTCCCTGCCATTCCAGCTCTACTACAGCTTCCCATTCCTCCCACTTCCCCTCACTATCCACAATGTTCTCTGCTTAAAAATAGTGAGAAACCAGCAATTTTGTTCCTGCAGCCTCTCTCGGCGTGCAGCTCCCTGCATAACTAAACAGTGATTTCCTGAACTTTTATGCAAGCTAGGGAAGGGAGGGGCCGGGAGGAAGCACCTCCCTACATTTCTTACCTGACCAACACCACTCTCCCTTTCATCACTACCCAACATCCAGCCATACCTCCAGTAGCCACTAAAACACCTATCATCCCACAAAGTAGCATCCACCCACTCATCCAGACAGCACCTCCACCATTCTTAACCAGCAGCCCCCCCAACATCCATCACTTCCAGCACCAGTATCCCCAACCAGCATGCCCTATTATCCCACCTAATAGTTCCCAAAACCCACAGGCACCTGCCCAGCAGCACCCAACCTGTGTACCAACACTTAATATGTCCCACCATCACCACCCCAACCTGCACTAGCAGAGAGAAACTCGTCTTTAGGAAATGTAAGCAGCTGGTATCTGGTGTAGTGAACACGAATCATATGGTTAATGATTAAGTACACAGTTTGGTGTAACAACAATATGGATACTTGAGTCAGTTTCTCACTTCCCCATTCCAGGATAAATATGAAACAACATACATTTGAATGTATTGACTTTGCTTTTATATTAGCTGCCTCTCTATCTTTCTCAGCTATTGATCATGCTTGCAAGACTGCTCAAGATGGTGTAGAAAAAACAACTGGACAAGCATCAGAAGCCGTGTCTGGCCTTGGAAAAAAAATTGGACTTAAGAAATGATGATAATTTAAACAGAGTGTGAGATGTTGTAAAATCAATGTTTGCACTGCAATTCAGTAATCATTTCTGTAGAAATATGAACGCTGTTTTAGATTTGCATCATTTACTGTGCTTAGCTTTATGCCATATGCAGAATGCTCACCCACCAAATAGTTTAAAAAAAAATCTTGTATGCTCTAGTCATAATCTCCCATTCAGCATTAATCACAAAAGTTTCCGCAGTGACTAAGGCATTGTCTGTCTCATACAGTGATGTAAAGGTTGTTGATACATTAGTTCAATGTACCTAAGAATTTAAATGATGAAACTATTAATACTCCTGCCATTACATAGGTAATAAACAGTAGAAGATTTACCTATGACATTCATGTTTTTTTTCCCAGCCAGAGCTAAGTTGTTGTTACATTTCAAGCCAAATGTTCATTTATTCTAAAATTTTAAAATAATGGATAAGGGAATAAGAAAAACATATGATCAAATTTCTTTCACAAAGGAAAAATAACATATCACCTATAAGTACACTGGTTAATTATATAGAGCTCTCCACCAAAGGATCTCAAAATGTTTTGCAAAGCTCTCTGACCCTGATCCAAAATCCATTGAGCGGGCTAAGTATCAAACACATTTTACAGATAGACAATTCAGCCTCTGTGACTCAGTTAGCCTAAGGCCACAGAGGAACTCAGTGGAAAGGTCTGGAACAGAATAGAAGAGTCCTGGTACTTAGTTCTCTGTTCTAACACGGCTTGCCTCATTTATTGTTATATTGTGCACCTGTCATAGTGCCTGGTCCTACTGCCATTGGAGTCAATGGCAAACCTCCCATTGACTTCAATGGGAGCGAGCAGGATCAGACGGGCATTCTCCAGGCACACTATATAACAATTTCAAAAACACATACCAACAGTCAGTTCTAGTGATGCATCACCAAGGCTGAAATAACTCTCTTAACCTCCAACTCTTGCCTATCCCTAAAGTACCCACTCAGAAAAACCCTGACTAAATATACTGCCTTTTAAACATGCCTTAAAACTAATCAAGTTTAGTTTGTCTCACACTGTGGGAAAAGTGAATTCTAGAACCATGGGCCCTCCACCAGTCTAACCTCACCCATTTAATGTACAAATCTAGGAAAAGTCAGCTTGAAAATCTCTGCTGATCTTAACAGTTGATCAAGACCATGCAGAGGGATGCAATCTTCAAGGTTACCTTGACCAAAACCTTAAAGCGCTTTGTAGGCTAAAATTATTACCTTGAACTGATCCCTGAAATATACTGGAAACTAATGCAGTCAATACACTCCTGGCATAATGTACTGTATGCATGAAACATTGTTAAAGATGTGGGCACCTGCATTCCATGTGAAGTGAAGTTTTTGAGTGGTCTTCCAGGGCAGGCCCGAATACATTACATCAGAGTAATCCAATCTGGAGGTTACAAAAGCATGGATGTCTGGTACAATGTCCAAATCCAAGAGGAAAGGAGATAATATTCTCACTTGGCAGACAGTACTGGGTTTACCATGGCGCCGGGCCCACAATCAGAAGGAGCCCCAGCCAGCCCCATCCCCCAGCTGGCTGAGCTGGCCAGGAAAACTGCCCCCGCCCCTGCTCCACCCCTTCCCCAAAGCCCCCGCCCCTGCTCTGCCCCCACCCCACCCCTCCTCTGCCCCAGTCCCACCCCAACTCCACCCCTTTCCCTGAGTTACATCCCAGGGGTCTGCAGCAGGGGTCAGGCCTGCCCTGCACTTACCAGGCAGCGGGAAGTGGAGCAACCTGGCCCCAACCGGCTCCGCGCCACTGGTGAATGCTGGGGGGAGGTACCTCTCTGCCCTCCAAAACCGGGAGTCAGGGGAGCAGAGTGGAGTGGGCTGGGTCTGGGTCACTCCACTTCCTGCCGCCCCATGAGTGTGGGGGGTCGGGTCCGCCCTGCAATCACCAGGCAGCAGAATGTGGAACAACCCAGCCCCAACCCGCTCTGCTCCTCCGGCTCGTGTTGGGGGGGCAGTTTCCCCTCTGCCCCCCAAGCCTGAGGAGGAGATGGAGCAATGGGGAAAGGGTATGGGATGGGGAAGAGAAGGGGGCAGGGGGAAAGAGGCAGTGAGGAAGGAAGGGGGTGGGATGAGGAGGAGATGGAGCGGTGTGGGAGGGGGAAGAGAAGGGGATGGGGGAAGCTATAGCTCAGCATGCGGCATCCCCTTGGTAGAAGCTGGGGCTCTCCTGTTAAGCAGGCCCATTGAACCCTCACCTTGACAAGCCCCACCTCCCCTGCAGCTGTACCACCCCGATGAGCCCCCCCAGACACTCTCCCCACTGAGCCCCAACCACCTGCACCTGGACCCCCACCCAAATGAACCCCACCGCCCCTGTACCTAGACCCCCACCATGCTGAGCCCCAAACACCTTCAGCTGGATTCCCTGCACAGTCCCATTGCCCCTGCACCTGGAACCCCGCAATGAGCGTCTGTGCATCCAGGTCTCCCACTGAGCCACCCACACCCAGATTGCCCCACAGAGACCTCTCTTACCCCCACCTGGATCCCCCCCACACTAAGTCCCTCTGCACTTGGCTCCTGCTGCCGGGCTGAGCCTGCTCACCCACACAGGTGGGCAGGGCCCCTGGGGGTTTCTGGGGCAGGCCTGGCCCTTGCACTGTGTCAACACGGTGGGGGTGGGGGAGGCTGGAGGGTAATCTCCCACCTCCATGCAACCAGCAGCCTGTGCTCCCCACTGCCATGTTGGAGCCTCCACATTTATTTATTGACAAATAAAATTTGGGCATAAGGGTGGGGCACTGGGCATGCTGGCAGCACAGGGCTGGGCAGGCCAGTGTGCGTCTGGCGGCTGCAGGCTGCGCAGAGCAGGGCTACTCCCACCGCACTGTGCCTCATTGCCCCCAGCCTGCTCTTCACTCTGGAGACTGACCATCCCGTCACCCCTGCACCTTGCCCCATGGGGGCCCACAAATATGTTTGGTGCCAGGCCCACAAAGTTAATCCAGCCCTGTTGGCAGATACAGATCATAAGGAGCATTTTTGTTTGCAGCTGCTTTCTGGCCAACCCGGAACAAGCTGGAATGGACTAGAACGGCGGGTTAGTGCGCCTTTTCAACAAAAGAAAATTATATCCTCTGAATCAAAGGGACCAATAAATGCTCTTTCTTTCTCCTCTGAGTATTTGCTCGGCCACCAACATCAGCTCTATTTTATACAGTTCAAGACTTACCCAGCCAGCTCTTAATCAAGCCCTAGTCTTGGCCCCACACAGGGAAAGCTGAGTGACCATAGTATCTGGGTCAGATGAAATCGCATGTAGCTGTTGGCACAGCAGTGCAGAGTGACTCACTGTCTCCCCCAGTGGCACATACCTACTGATCGGGAGGCATAACAGAATAGATCTTTATGCATAGAGCCCTGCCAAATTCATGGTTCATTTTGATCAATTTCACGGTCATAGGATTTTTAAAATAGTAAATTTCAAGATTTTCAGCTATTTAAATCTGAAAGTTCACTGTGTTATAATTGTAGGGGTTAGGGGTGGGGGGTGAGCAAGGTTATTGTAGGGAGGTTGTGGAACTGCTACCCTTACTTTTGTGCTGCTGCTGGTGCTGCTTTCAGAGCTGAGCAGCTGGAGAGCAGCAACTGCTGGCCAGGAGCCCAGTTCTGAAGGCAAAGCCACCTCCAGCAGCAGCGTAGAAGTAAGGATGGCATAATAGAATATTGCCATCCTTACTTCTGCACTGCTGCCTGCAGAACTGGGCCCTCAGCAAGCAGCTGCCACACTCCAGCTGCCCAGCTCTGAGGACAGCAGTGCAGAAGTAAGTGTGGCACAGTATGGCATTGCCACACTTACTTCTGCGCTACTGTTGTCAGTGTGCTGCCTTCAGAACTGGTGCCTGGCCAACAGCCGCCGCTCTCCAGCCGCCCAGCTCTGAAGGCAGCGCAGAAGGAAGGGTGGCAATACTGCGACACCCCCCCCCCTTACAACTTCCTTTTGGATCAAGACCCCCAATTTCAGAAACGCTGGTCTCCCCCATGAAATCTGTATAGTATAGGGTAAAAGCACATAAAAGACCAGATTTCACAGGGGGAGACCAGATTTCACTGTCCGTGAAGTGTTTTTCATGGCCGTGAATTTGGTAAGGCCCTATTTATGCATATTAGTAACTGTTAACAGGATCTCAGGAGAGTGACTCACTACTGAAACCGCTGGAGAAAGCTGTTATCTCCAATCTGCACAAGGAGTGTATGCATTAAGAGTATGTTTACACTGCAATGTAAACTCAGGGGTTGAACTAAGGCTCAAGCCTAACCCCCCCCCTTCTGCCTACATAAAAATTGCGCTAATCCAAGGCACAGACCCAGGGTTCCAGTACCCCACAGGAATAGAGGGTCCAAGCCTGACTCAAGCCAAGACCCAGAGTTCAAGCCCTATTGCCCTGCAGTGTAGACACAATCCCACTGGTCTCATGCTCTGTAAGTCTGCCAAAAGTATTTCACAATCCCACGAACTGACTTTCTTTGTCCTCCGGACAATGACGTTTGATGGACAGTCAAGTTTTCTCACACTGCACCACATTTTGGGAAGGTGCTAGGAAGTCTGGGATATGGGTGGTTAGACACAGGCCCGCATGATGCAGTGGCCCTCCAGGGCTCAACAATTCCTAACCTGGGGTTACAAGTGAGTGTAGATGCTCAAACCCTATGTTAACAAACCCAGGGTCTGCTAACTTGAGTTATACTAACCTTGGGCTTACTCTGCAGTTAGATATACCCTAAGAGCCCTGCATGGATAACCACGTATAGCAGTGGTTTTCAAACTGTGGGTCGCAACCCAGTTCTGGGTTGCAGAATGGAATGGACTGGGTCACGACGGCTCTGGTCAGCACCGCCGACCGGGCTGTTAAAAGTCCTGTTGGCAGTGCTGCCTGGCTAAAGTGGGCTAATCCCAATCTGTTCTGACACTGCGCTGTGCCCCAGAAGTGGCCAGCATCAGGTCTGGCTCCTAGGCGGGGGGACACGGGGCTCCACGCGCTGCCTCCACCCCAAGCACCAGCTCCGCACTCCCATTGGTTGGTTCCCTGCCAGTGGGAGGGCGGTGCCTGCGGGCGAGAGCCGTGCAGAGGTGCTTGCGTGCCTCCGCCCGGGGCGGCTCTATGTATTTTGCCGCCCCAAGCACGGCAGTGAGACAGCCTTCGGGGGCATGCCTGCAGGAGGTCCGCTGGTCCCGTGCCTTCAGCGTACCCGCTGCCAAATTGCCGCCGAACCCGCAGAACCGGCAGACCTCCCGCAGGCATGCCACTGAAGGCAGCCTGACTGCCGCCCTCACGGCAACTGGCGGGC